TTTTTATATTTATTTAAATTTTACTTGCACACACCGTTCACCGCTCACACCCCATATAACAAACTCTAGTCCTCTTCTTCTTCCTCGTTATCATTTTCTTATTTTCCGTAGTGTTGCCAGCTAGTTCGTACTTGACTGAATGGACTATACTCCTCCTAAATTTTTTATAATTGTGTTAATATGACAACAAAATAATTACAAAATATCTGCAAACAGAGTCAAAACACACAAAAGCAGAGTAGAAACAACAAACCAATCCATATTTGAAATATGTACACTTAGCAGAAAGACTCTGCGTACAAAAAGTAAATTTTGTTTTAACAATAAAAAAATTATTAAATAAATAGATTTTTTTAATCAATTTTATTTTTTATTTGTACTTTAATTTGTTATCTTCATTTTAAGCTAAAACTTATTTCTAACAGATTAGTAGAAAAATGATAATAATTAAAAATGTAAAAAATCAGCGCTTCGGTAGCAGAAAAAGAAACAGTATAAACACATTACATTTCACGGCTGTGGAAAGTAATACTAAAAAATCGCAAAAGCAAGTGCTATTCAATGTCATTTGGGTGATGAAGAAGTATACAATGGAAATACGATTTTATATTTGTTGATGATGTTGTTGGTTTTCTCTTTTAGTAAACATATTTTTATATACATGTGTATGAATGTATGTATGTATATATATGTATATATATATATATATATACCGCAACTAACTCACTTTATTTAAAATGTATTAAATTTTAATTAAAATGTTTTAAATCAAAAGTTTTTGTATTAGAAGTGTCCAACATCACAAAATCATATAATATTAAAACTCTTCAAAACAATAAAATATTAAAAATTAAATCACTCTCTGGCCCAATTTACACTACCAGAAAGTAACATGAACTTGAAAATCGGTTGCCGATAGATGAGACAGGGAAGAGAGTGTGATGTGAGTTCATATATTTTAAGCAACGAAATTTGAATCGTTTTTTCAGCTTGACACGCATACATATTCAATGTTATGTTTATGTTTACCTTTACATGCTGAATACTTTTAATTTCGTTCACTCCTATCAATGTAAGATATGATGCGAGCGTAGCTTATGATTAAAGGGTTCATACTCCCTCTTATACACATTTGCAAATTTAATGCTTAAATAATTATAAATTATCACAAAACACAATTACAATGTTAAAACGTATATATATTTTAATTAGTAATTTAATTAATCAAAATGAAGGAAAGGTTTTTATATTGATGCATGGAAAACGATGTAAATGTTTAACTGAATTCTGACTACGCACGGTGTTAACCTGTCTCCAAAAGAAAATATGGAAAAACAAAACAAAGGTAAACAAATATTGCACTCTTTCTCTTTAGCTAAAAATGCATACATTTTGTATGAAATTTACAAGCAAAAGCAAAAATAGAAAACAAACACAAAGCGTTCCTCTTGATGGGTCTAATGTTTTTGGAGACAAATTTTTCAAAAGCTCAGTTGAGAACTCCTCTTGTATTTAGTTTTCTTGCTAATATATTGATATAACCATAAAAACTGTTTGTTACATACATATGTACATTCAAAAAAAATTGAAAATTTTAACTTCTTATTCAAAATAAGAGAAGTTTTTGTTTTAATATACATATGGTATGTATATGTTTTTTATTTTATATATTTGTTATTTACTATATTAGGAATATAAGCATAACATAAAAACAAAATTATAAAATTATTGAAAGAAGAACACAAAATGTGACAAAAACAAATCCTACATCATTTTTTGACTGTCAAGTAATTGTTTACACATCTTGTGTTTTTCCATTATTTTGCATTACTTAAACAACGTGCGATAAATTTACCGTAATTGGTGCCTTACGTTAATTCTTGTCTAAGATGTTGATACTTAATTAATTATTTATTTATAATTTTTTCACTTCACTAATTAAAATATCAATCTTTTAAAATGTAAGATGAAACATTGTAGTTTGGAGTGAAACAGTCCAAACTGTAAATGCGATAAAATTGAAAATCCATACTTAATAACAATTAATTACGAAAACAATTATAACTCTTTCTTCAAATGCCATCATAATGAAAAATTGTTTCAATGCTGCAAATAAAATTTTGATATCTCTTGCCCCTGAAATTACATACAAAAATATCAATGTCCATATGTTCATATTTAAACACAAAGTATGGTAAATAGGCATGAATGAATATAAAATAGAGAATAATTCTTTTTACTACTTACATTATAACTCAAGGAAGCAATAACAACACCTCAAAGAGCAAAAGGAACAAGAAACACAAAAAAGAAATATAAAAATTTCTTGAACCTTTGAAGCAGAGTATATTGTAAAATCTTCTTTGGTATGAAGCAAAAACGACTGAAGCGACGTCGGCAGAGATTTGAGTAATTTGGGTACCCAATAATAGATACCTAGAACAAAAATTCATTTCTATGGGATTGTGACTCTATAATATTTTTACTCAATGGCAAAAAGCAGTGCACAATAAACAGTGTTGCCTTGTCCTCTTTTCGATTATGTATTTAATAAGTACTCTACATTGTTAAAATTGAGTTATGGTCCAGCATTAGTTTCACTGCTCGCTTTGTCGTTTCGTTTACTTCTTTTGAGCTTAAAAGTATTTTTTTAGCTTGAACCATTGAGTATAAATATTATAGAGTAGAAATCTGAAAACAAACTCAATTTGCTAAGTAGAACCATTGAGTATAAATATTATAGAGTAGAAATCTGAAAATAAACTCAATTTGCCTAATGGGTCTGTGGGGGCGCGGGTAACAACGTAACAAGAAATAGAGAGCAAAATGCATTTCTCTACAGCGCTCTATAATATAGTGAGCACGTGCATGTAAGTTTTTTGTTTTGATTTTGTTTCCTTGTACTCTATTTTGTACCCTTGTGTATTTTTATTTCATTGAAACTAAATATCACTTTTCAGCACCAAATTTAAATAGAGGAATATATTCTACTTTATGGTCATAGGCATAGGCATATGAACATATTATTATTTTTGTTTCAGAACTTCCTAGAAATAAAGGAAGAATAATAAAAAAGAAATATGTAAACATATACAGTGATGAACAAAATTATTGGCACAGCAAGCAAAGTGAACTTTTGTACTATTTTTATCCTGTTAATAATGCGATTTTTAATAGTTCAATTTGCTTACTGTGCCAATAATTTTGTTCGTTACTGTATGTATGCTAGTAAAGTGCACATGCAATATGAAAGCACACAAAAAGACTAGAGTAATATTTTTTTCCTACATGTACCTTCCTAATAAATTCACAGAAGCACTGATCAATATAACAAACGACGAAAAGAGTTATTTGAGAGAATCGTTTTGCCCTTTACTTTAATTTCCAAAGCAATTCAGAAAACAAGACATGAAGAGAATGGAGTGTTTTTTGAGTGCAAAAAGGTTGCCAGCAGCAGCAACCTCATACAAAAATTTGCTTGTACGAGATTGCTACTCTATAATATTTATACTCAATGCTTGAACATAACAAAGGTTTTCATGCCATTTTGTGGAACATATTTTCATGAACTCATCGCACAACTTGAAACGATTAAAAATGTTTTTAGTATTTTTATATAAAAACTGTTCAATTCCCTTTTCGACGATTTCAGTTATGTTTGCGCGATCTATTGATATTTACCTGATTTCCATGTGTAAACGATCAAATACTAAATAACAATGAATCTTTTATTTTAAATGTTAATTGCATTGTGTACTCAAGAAAAATTTGTTACTAAAACATATTAAAAAAAAATTCCAAATGATAAATAATATACCTTCTGCTCAAATAGGATTTTGTTAACTACTCTTTAAGTAATAGACCTTTTTCAAAAATTTTCTTTTTGAACACCCTTTCTTTACATATGGTACAAATTTGAGCGGCATCTGTAAATTAGTTTGTTTACAGCATTCAGCGATTTTTAGTATGGAAAATTCAGTTGAACAACGAATTAGTTTGAAATTTTGTGTTTTGAACGAAATTTCATGTGTTGAAGCATTGAAAATGGTGCAGAAAGCTTACGGGGAGTCTTCTATGACTCGAACACAGGCATACGGGTGGCATAAATTATTCAAAGAGGGTCGTGAAGTAATCAACTGGAAGATCATCGTATGACTGAAAGGGAAATTGCTCGTAACTTAAACATCTCAAATGGATCCATTCACCACATTTTACAAGATATATTGGGCATGAGATGCGTTGCAGCTCGACTTGTACCGAAACACCTTGACTTTTTGCAAAAAGAATATCGAAAGAACGTTTGTGAAGAAATGATTTTTGAGCATGGAAACGACTCTATATTCATGAAACGCATCATAACAGGTGATGAGACAGTGGTTTATGAGTATGACGTCGAAACAAGTCAACAATCGAGCGAATGGCGCTTCGAAAACGCGCAAAAACCCAAAAAACCGCGCAAAAGTCGCTCGAAAATTAAAGTTATGCTCACTGATTTTTTCGACTACAGCGGCGTTGTTCATTACGAGTTTTTGTCAGAAGGTTATACCATCAATAAAGAATATTACCTCGGCGTTATGCGGCATTTGCGTGAGTCCATCCGTAAAAAAAAGACCAGATTTGTGGAAAGCCAACAATTGGATTCTTCACCACGGCAATGCTCCATCGCACACGGCTCTTGTTGTACGCGATTTTTTGACCAAACACGGCTCCACTGTCATCGCTCAGGCACCATATTCGCCAGATCAGGATCCGTGCGACTTTTTCCTGTTCCCGAAACTCAATTAAACTAAGAGCTATACCTGCACGGGGTTACGAAAAATGTATGGAAGATTGGGTTAAGCGTTGGCAGAAGGAGCATATTTTGAAGGAGATAAAATAAATTTGGAATAATATTTAAATTTGTATTTTATTTACAAAATCCGGGTACTTTTTGATAATATATAAAAATAAATATATAAATTAGTATTATAAATTAAATATGAAACATCATTTTTCGTTACGAAATTACGCATAGCAGCCGCTGTTGACTCTTAAGCGATTGCTTTAATACTGATGACTGAACAATGTTTGCATTGTATGCTGGAGGCGTGTTTAAAAAATTGTTGAAAAATTTGGTGTGTAATGGCGAGAGACGACTTCGTGCGTTGTCAGTGGGCGATGCTGTCTAGTGGCCACTTTGAATAAAAATATTTTTACTGTATACATGGCTTTGGCCATTCATCTTGTGTGATATATAGCCCCAGGAGATTAAAAGTTGTGCTGCAGTTCGGTTTTTCCCCAAAAACTGTTATTGCAAGTTTTAGAAGTTTCCTATAATCATCTTTTGGTTGGTTATCCTTACGAGTCTTATTAAGGAAACTTGTAATTCGCAACAAATCTATGTTCAACGATTTACTTACATTTTCTAAGCCGACCGTGAAATTACTATCGTTTATTTTTGGCCAAAACTTTTGAAATCGTTGAAATAGTTCAACATTTGGGCTTTCAGACTTGCAAGTCTTAGCACAGAAAACAAGCTGAATAAAAACCAACGACTGTGGGATCTTCTACAGGTTCAGCTCCGTCCCAGTCCACCTGCATAAGAGACAGGAGAACAAGGACGGTAGTAAATCAGCTGAGGAAACCACTCCAGCTGAAGAAACGATGCCTGCAACTGTTCTGGAGCAAGTGGAGGAGGAGGCGACGAGGAGCGAGAAGAATGAGGAAATCAGTGTGCTACCTAGGACATTGAAACCTTGGATCTCTCCCTACTAAACTTGGTGCCCGATGACAACTCCGACAGAATATCTCTGTCAGACATCGACGATGGTCTGGCAGAAGAAGCAAAGGAAGAATAATTACTTGATGACCAGCACTAAAGTCACCCAAATAAATCCACACCACGCAAAACTGCATCGGCAGTTATTCCAAGGGCTACGTTTAAATCGAACTTGAGCATAGTGCTGATCCGAGAACCTTGGATCCACATAGGTGGAATCTGTAGTTTGACTGCAAGGAATAAGCAGACAATTTGGGATGTAAGATGTGATAAGCCAAGAACCTGCATTTTAATATATATTAATAATAACTTTATCTATCTATTTAGAATAGTTCTCCAAGGACCTCGTTGCCATACAAATTCCGGCCAACATCAACGGAGTTCTACAGAACGTGGTCGTAGCTACAGGCTATCTACCAGAAGACGACACTCAGGTACCATCTGCAGAGGTTGTTAAACTGGTGGACTACTGTGAGAGAACGAAGATGGCACTTATACTTGATTGCGAGTCCAACGCTCACAACGAAGTATGGGGAAGCACAAACACCGATACAAGAGGTGAGTACCTTTTAGAATTTATAACCAGTAAGAAATTAAAAGTATGTAATATAGGCAAGACATTATCATTTGTATCTAACTCACGAGGTCCTCAAAGAGGTCCTAAATATTACTATCGGAAATACTCCAGGCTGTGAGCTTGTCAAAAACTGCAGAGTATCCAGTGAACCTTCTTTATTTGATCATAGAATCCTAAGGTTCGACATTGAAGGCTCACTAATTAACAAGAAAATCCTATGGTACCCAAGAAATTCAAATTGTGTAACATATACGGAAAATCTGAAAGAAAATCTTGTCCAATTAAGGCTAGATAAAATCATTCAGAATGAAATTCAAATAGAAAATAATCTAGAAAACCTCAATAATTCCATACTCAATGCATATAAGGATAGCTGTCCATTAAGCTCGATCAAAGCAATGACCTAAATAATATAAGAAGCATAATCAGAGGACTATTTAATTACTCAAAAAGAACAGGAGATTGGTCAGAATATTGACAAGATCTTACTGGGTATAATAAATAAATTAGGGCCTCAAAACGTAAAAGCTTCCGAAAATTTTGCGAAAGAATAGAAAGCACAACAGAGGTATCAAGATTCTATAAGGTGCTTGCAAAAAGCAGTAGCCTTACTTCCACCAATTTCAAACGAAAAGTTGGAAGTTTCACCGAAGGTGAAGAAGATAAGGTACGACTACTTCTGGACGTACATTTGCCAGGATCCTCTACAATTCTGGGGACGGAATCTCCAGGTATTGATGGTGACTTTCCGGCACTACTCCAAAAAGGAATTGAACAGCTATTAGGTCCGATAACTAGAATAGTTAGAGCCAGTATTGCATTGGGCTATATACCAATTATGTGGAGGAGGACAAAAGTGGTTTTTATTCCGAAGGCGGGTAAGAGGCATCCTACTCACCCGAAATTCTTTAGACCAATCTGCCTTACATCCTTTCTACTTAAAGTAGTAAAAACCTATGTCAGGAATACTACACTAATAGAAACTCTATTACACAGCTGCCAACAAGCCTATAGAGCAGGTCAGTCAACAGAAACGGCCCTGTCTCAACTAAGTAACACAATTTAGGACAGCAAAGATAAGAAAGAAATATCAATTTAAACTTTCTTAGATATTGAAGGAGCCTTTGATAACACATCACATGAGGTCATATACTCCATTCTTTGTAGAAAAGGAATCAATGGCACACTTTCACGCTGGATGAGCAACATGCTCCGCACTAGGAGAGTAAAAATTCCGACCAGTAATTGCAATATTTTTGCAAACATTTCGCGGGGGTGTCCTCAAGGTGAAGTATTATCATCCCTAATATGGGGTATGGTGGTAGATGAACTGTTGGCAAAACTGGATAGGAATTGCTTCCAAATCCAGGGATACGTCGATGATGTGGTAATAATCTGCAGAGGAAAATTCGAACATAGTCAGTGCGAGAGAATCCTGTAAGACCTAAAACTAACAAAAAAATGGTGCAATTGAGTTGGACTGAAAATAAATCCAGCAAAAACAACCATTGTGCCATTCACGAGAAAATACAAAATAAAAAATCTTAAACCCATCCGCTTAGATGGGTTAGAAATAAAACCACAAAAGCAGGCAACCAAAGCCTTTATGATATGTAAATCCACAGCAGATAAGAATTGGGGATGTACACCAAAGTCACTGCGATGAATATACACAGCAATAACCACACCTATTTTCACTTATGGATCAATAGTCTGGCAGAACTGCACAAAACAGCAAAGCGTTATCAGCACACTCAACAAGTTACAGCGACTGCATGTGTACTTTTATAAAGATTCTGAATACTGTGGTACTTGAAATGAAGACAAGAAAAGGACATGTTATACTCATCCCGACATATCTCAACTGAAATAAATGGGCTGCAGATTACGAAGTGTTGTATGACACTATTATTCAATTAAAATCAGTAAACGTGATGATCGTAGGAGATCTAAATGTCCGCATAAGCAGCAGCAAAGCGTTAACGGAAAGTATATATACAGCTAGTGGATATGCAAATACTCCTCGAAGTGCGAATGACAAAACAATAGATTAAACAATTAGATTAATATGACTAAAAACTCATTGAGCTATGTGAGTGTTATTTGAAGTAAATTATTTGACAGCTGCCTACAATAATATTTTTGAATCAGAAAACGTTCCTGATAGTTTCAAAAAAAACATTATATTTCTCATTTTTAAAAAAGGCGATGTAAGCAACCCATCTAATTACAGAGGTATCATTATCTTAATATATTCACAAAAATATTCAACTCTATTCTTCTTACTCGACTAACCAACTGGGTGGAAACATATCACCTACTGAGCGAATATCAGGCAGGTTTTAGAAAATCATACTCAACCGTAGACAGTATTTTTGTGCTGACGTCAATTGCAAAGGAGTTCCTCCAAAGTAAACGCAAATTATATATGTTTTTATGGATTTCAAGGCAGCTTTTGACACCATCGATAGGCGTAGTCTCTTTCTAAAACTAATTAATATTGGCATCTCAACGAAAATGTGCAATTCAAAGCTTATATGTCAAAAATGAAACTGAAGTTTGGGATAGTAAATATCTGTCAGACTGGTTTGAGTCAAATCGTGGTGTCAAACAAGGTTGTCTTCTAAGTGCCTTACTTTTTGCACTGTATGTAGATGATAAATCGTGTATTTTGCCTGGTGGTGTTTGTTTAGGTTCACAATGTTTTAAAGTATTAATGTATGCGGACGTCATGGTCTTACTTGCAGAAAAACTCCAAACACTTCAGAATATGATAAAGGCACTGCAACAGTACTGTCAAACTTGGAGCCTACAAATCAATTGCGATAAATCGAAAGTAATGATTGTTCAAGACAACAGAGATAGAAAAGCAAGGACCAATAGTTGGAACTTAAATAGGGTAGAACTAGAGGTAGTGAATACACCATCCTATGCAATTCATCTGTAATCGGGGCTGCCAATATTATATACATTCACATTTCAACTACATTTTCACTATATCAACAAAGTAATAAAAATGCCAGATCACCGGCTGCCCAAAATCGTCGTAAAACACCTGCTCCAACCAGATCGCAGTTCTTTGCTCAATGGGATGCACTTGCTGAGGAATACAGCAGTGCCCCTTATTCTACTGAAACAGTTTTGTGGCGCCAATGGCAAACACAAATACTCCAAAATATTGATCTCAGCTCGAGAACCCAATTTGAAAGACAAGCACGTGTAAGCAGTACAAGAAATATGAGTACATATAAGCTGTTGGAGTATAATCTTAACAATCAAAATTATTTCAACGACAAGTTTGACACCGCGATAATATCATTAATATTCAAGGCAAGGACAGAACTGATAAGGCTGAACTATGTCCCATCCGTACAAATAACTAATACATACTGCACACTATGCAATATGTACGAAAAAGAAGACATCATTCATCTCATGAGACGCTGCCCTATCCTGTATGAAATTAAATCATATTAATTCCATCTGAATGCTATGTTTCACGACGTGAAGTACTGATGGATTGTGGCGAGTAATTTCGACCTGTAATTTTTAACGTACCACTTCTCTTATATTATGTATATCTGTTATTAGTAATAATATACTTTTTCTATTATTATTTTTATATATCTACTACTCAAAAAGTACTCGGATTTTGTAAATAAAACACACAAATTTAAATTTTATTCCAAATTTATTTTATCTCCTTCAAAATATGCTCCTTCTGAAGCGATACATATATGCCAACGCTTAACCCAATCTTCCATACACTTTTCGTAGGCCCGTGAAGGTATGGCTTTTAGTTTCTTCAGCGAATTCTCTTTTACCGAGTTAATCGACTCAAAACGCTTACCACGAAGGGGCAATTTGAGTTTCGGGAACAGAACAAAGTCGCACGGATCCAGATCTGGCGAATATGGTGCCTGAGCGATGACAGTGGTGCCGTGTTTGGTCAAGAAGTCGCGTACAACAAGAATTTTCCATAGTAAAAATCGCTAAATGCACTTGAGGTAGTCTCACATTACCAGTTACTGTAAACAAACTAATTGACAGATGGCGCTCATATTTGTACCATATATCAAGAAAGGGTATACCATTATAACAAAAAAAAATTTTGAAAAAATCTATTACTTAAGGAATAGTTAATAAACAACAAAATCCGGATACTTTTTGAGCAGAAGGTATATTATTTATTTAATTCTTATATCTTTTTTTACTGTTTTCTGAATTTTAAATTTCTTCATCATTATAGCATTATATTAGTTATTATATTCACGTATATTTTTGCATTATGCTCGAATCGTATTTAAATTTTATTTAAGACAAACGAGTTAATAGTTATTGTCTCAAATAATCTAATTAATCTATCTATCTATTTTATGTACTCTTTGTTAGGATCATTGTATTAAATAAAATAAATTAATAAACTCTTACTACTACTTACTACTACTTACATGGTATACAGAGAGCTCCCTCACTATTGAGGGAGCTGGGACTGGTGTTTATGGACTAGGCAAGAGATACTGGGAAGCACTGAGAAATAATGCAACTATCTTTCAAGCGGAAATATACGCGATAGATAGATGCACCCGTTTCAACCTTGAACGTAACTACCGGAATCGTAAAATCGCAATACTGACTGACCAGGTATCATCTAAATTGGTATGGGGGTGCATTGACAAGCTGAACATGGCGTTTGGAGGGCGAACTAATTCACCGTTCACCGAGGGCGATGGAAGAGGAATACGCCCTGATGGAGTTTTGGCGAACTAATGCTTCGAAACTGCAAGAACAAAAGAAAAATTCTCATTTGTATGCCGAAATAGCAGATTTAATGTGCGAGCAGAATTTCTATTTTAGTGTCGAGGAGATGAGGCACAAAATCAAAAATCTTTCCATCAAATATACGTAAGTTTGAATTTGTATTAAATAAATAAATTACATATTTGATATATTATAATTTAAAGATAAAAAAAAGAAAACAGGAGCATCAGGTGGAGCGCTATCAAACTGAGGCATTTCAATTACATCAACGAAAAACCTGGCGGACTAAAGCGATTCACTATTGAAAAACACGTTCAGGAGAGTACAGGTATGATGTGAAAATATATTTGTGTGTAACCAAACCATATTGTATAATTTCCATAATCTTATGTAAATTAAAGTAAAGTATATGTTCCAATAATATGGTATTTAATGGTATTTAAAATATATATGTTACAGTATTTACAAGTATGTATTAACAAATTGTTATATAAATTAAACAGTAATAGCAATAATTTAGTTTGAATCACAATATTTTATATAAATTAAAGTAATTGTTATAGTATTTACAAATATATATTAACAAAATGTTTTATAAATTTAATTATTTTGTCTGTTGCAGTTCATTCATCAATGTTAAATTTGGACGGAAAGATTCGTTTATCATCTCCAACCGATAGTGGATCGATTTCCATCCTCGTTTCATCATCATCTAAAGAACCGTCTGAAGATTCGTGTGAAGGAACTCCTAGGAAAAAGAAAAATAAAAAAAATGTACTTTACTTAACGGAGCAGCTGCATCAATACAATAAACTCGAAAAGGAAATGCTCGAACAAACAAAAAGAGTTATGCTTTTAGAAAGAGACAAATTACATGAGAATCACTTAGGGATTTAGAGATGTCAAAGTTTGGCAAGAGAATCAATTTTATGACCAAATATTAATAATGATGTATATAATTTACTGTCTAGTTATGAAATTTGTATAAAATTTAGAGTTGTTAGCCTAGCCGCGAAGTTTCAATTCCTTGGTTCAAAGTAGGTATAGACCTTTTCGAATTTAATAAACGCACTTACTTGCTAGTAGTTGATTATTTTTCCACATATATTGAGATCGAATGGTTAAACCAAAGAGTATATAGAGTGTGCATCACTCAATCTTAAAAATGAAGTAATGGCGATTTCACAAAAATCGGTCGTAGAAATCGGAGAAATAGTATTTGAGTTATTTTTGCGTCGCATGGACTCGTTGTGACTCAATTTTTAATTTTTCAGCTTTAACATGCGGGAGAGTTTGGAGTGTTTAAGCTTTTCATAGTTAAGAAGTTTTAAAAAAATTTATATTGCTTTCGTGCGCTCTGAACTATAGTTGTTGGTATTTTTATGTAGAAAGGTAAGAAGAGCAACTTATGAAAATATTGAAGCAATAAGTGTCTGCAAAAATACCAAAAAACTTATTTTTTGTTTACAATCCATTTTATTTCATTCATTATAGAATTTTCTGTAAAACCGAAATTTTTATTTTCAAGTTCAACTGAATCATATTTGTATAAAAAGAAACAGTACTGTATATTCTGTAAATTATTGTAAATTATTAAATAATTATGCAAAATATGACCATCAGTAAACCTCATAAATTTTAACAAAAAATTCAATAAGTAATAATATAAAGACATTTATTATATTATAAATATTGCTTACGATGACGACTATGACAATATAAGTGTAAACTACTTGTTCTTGTTGCGCTATAGACCACCCCGCTAATTCTTCTTTTATTGCGGTTTTGGATAGAGTTGAGGACAGTGGATTTTTTAAATCTTTAATTTTAGCAAAACAGACTTGTGTTTTTATGGTTAAAGGTCTTATCACAAACTCGTTATTTATTTTCAATTATTTTTACTCCAACAATGGATTATCAGGTGAATGCCTTTCAAACATTATATTTGAAAATTTAAATATTTTAAATGAAATGGGTTTCAAAATTCGTGCATTAATATGTGATCAAGGGTCTTCAAACAGAAAATGTTATTCCATCTTTGGTGCTGGAATCCACAATCCATACTTTTTTCATAATAATTTAAAAGTTTATTGCTTCTTTGATTTCCAACACTTGATAAAATCCTTACGAAATAGTTTTAGTAAGTGTGATTTTAATACCCCTGATACACAATGGTCTTGTAAGTTTTGCTGTTGTGCGTGAATTGTGGGAACATGAAGAAAATTCAACTACCAAGATGTGCCCAAAATTAACGAGACAACATATATTCCCTAACTTTTTTCAAAAAATGAGAGTAAAATTTGCAACACAAGTTTTTAGCAGAACTGTTGTAGCTGTTATTAAAACCGTTGTAGATACATCTGGTTTTAAAAAAAGCACTACAGAAGTCGCATCGGCAACTGCACATTTCATACAAAAAATATATCGAATATTTGATTGTATGAATAGCTGTTCTTTATATGCTGACAATTCCTTTAGATCAACAATCCAATTGGAAAATGAGAGTTTCAATTTTATTAAATACTTCCTAAATTATATTAAACAGGTGTCTTTAACAGATACATCAAAGAACGTGTTTCTTTTTAGAAGGACTGCAACTCAGTTTAATAGCTGCCTTGTTATTGGCAGATGACATTTTAAAATGTCATCCTCAACTGAAATTTATTTTTTAATGACAAAGCGTTTAAATCAAGATAGTCTTCAAAATACTTTCGCAATTCTTCGTCAAAAAGGTGGCAATAACTCAAACTCCACAGCAAGTGAATTGAATAATATTTTAGCGAAAGTTATGACTTGTAAAATCATTCATTTAAGTTATGTGACCAATTGTGAAATAAGTGAGGATAATGATAACAAGTGCCTTGATGATGTGCTTTCTTCTTCTTTGATAGAACTCGATGAAAATAACTCTAGGGTGTCTAGTAATTGTGCAGTAGAAGCCTACTCTGATCTAGAGTGCAATGACTTCGAAAATTGCACTATATCAGATGCATTTTCCAATTCAAAGAACATAAATATTGATTTATTGTCTTTAAGATACACAATAGGGTACGTAGCTAAAAAAATACTTTCAAAACTAAATAGTGAAGCTTGCAATATAAACTTAAAAAAAGGGATGAAATTTTGACTGCTCCAAATGAGCTTTTCATCTACTATAAAAATTATAATTCTCTTTCAAATTTCGGTAACCTTTTTGCGCCACCAGAAAGTTTTTTCAATGTTTCTTGTAAACATGTCGAGGTTTTTAAAAATGTATTCAAGAATAAACCAGATGCAATTGGCATTTAAAGTTTAATAATAGAAATGTGCAAGAAAAAAACCCCTCAGTGGTTCAATGGGCCCTGTAATGAACATCTAATCCAGCTTCTTGATTTTTCAAATCTGATTTTACTTCGTAAGCATTGCTTGTGGGCCTTAAGCGCGGTGCAGACTATCATACTGGTATGTCATACGAGAGAGAAAAACGTCGAATGACACACAGGTATGATAGTCTGCACCTCTAACCAACATGTTGGCGTGCTCACCAAAATTTTGGTGAGCAGCTCTCGCATACGTGTTGTGTATGATAGTCTGTCACCTCTAACGATTCAAACGTCATACAAGAGCATTTTTGCCTTGCAAATTTATTGTAAGGAGGCGATATGTGTAAAATTTTATTATAAATTTAATACGTTTTTTTATTATTTTATTATTTATGTATTTATTATTATTATTATTTGTTATTTTACATTATTTGTTATTATTAAAATTGCATTTATAAATTTGTGTTAAATATTTAAATGTATTTTAGTTAGAAAAAATAAATTTTTATATAAAATTCATATAAAAAATTAAAATGCAATTAAATATTTTATTTAATTTATTAAATATTTTATTTAATTTTATTTTAATTTATAAGTGATGATTATAAGTAATTTGTTATTTAAAAAAACATCTTAATATAAACATCGTTATAGTAACGATCTAAGCCCAGTAATTAAAAAACGTATAGAAAATTGGTCATAATAACAATTAATTTATAACCTAAATTTAAGATACAATACTCTGTATTCTAAATATGCTTTTCTTTGTTCAAACTTGTTATTAAAATAAAAGAATTTTAAATGTTAATAAAAACAATGAAGATATGTACATTCTTTTATTATTTGTATGGTCTATTTATGGAAAATTTCTTAAGTAATTTTCCAGGTAGTGAACTACGGTCCTTTACTGATATTTTCATTTTAACTACTGAACTTAATGACCTTTTTACCTTAGATTTTATTTAGTATTAATATTAATAAACCAGTAAACCTAAAAAAAATAAATATGGATGCAGATAAATTATTTTTAGATACTTTCATCGAATGTTAACAAAAATAATCGCTGTTTGTGAGATGTCCAAAGCTGTGAATATAAAGATCGCAAAAAAGATCGGCATATATAAAATATACAAAATTATAATCAATTATAAGTAAAGCGCAACCTATACGTTAACTATCCATTTTTTCAATTTTACGATTTTAAAATTTAATTTTAAACTTCACACAGCAAAACCCGAAAAGCACTCTTCAAAAATTGTGCGTAAATACGAGTTGCGCAAGAGAGAGCGCAACTCGTATGACAGACCAGTATGATAGTCTGCACCGCGCTTTATACTGATCTTTTTATTTTAACCACTGTACCTTTTTACTTTTTACTACTTAAGCAAAGTAATATAAGCAAAGAATAGATGGAACTAAATTTACTCTCCAAGCTGTTGTGGTCAGATCGAAATGCACATAAGTTTGCGCTAAACTAAAGGGCCCATTAGACAGCAACGTTCGTTGTCAACGCGCGCTTGCCATTACACAAACAATTTTTTAAACATTTTTTAAACACGCCCCAGATAAAATAACAAATATACTAAAAAATCGCTCTCACATGAGAATTTTTTTCTCCTACTTTTCTCCTACTTTGTGAAATGCGAAATTTGTTTGTGTAATAGTAACATTTGAAATTTTAAAAAATGCGTTGACGAAAATCAAAAAATTTTGATATTTCTTCAACCACGATCGTGTTTTTGCATATACAGTCGGATTTGGTCGGCATGCAAAATTTTATTTATTTTGAGAAGTAGAAGGATAAACATCGTTTAAATGCACGCATGATTTGTCGTTAGCATGCGATGGTTTGCAAATATGAATGAATTGTATCTTTTATTTTAAATATTTGTATTTTCTACCTAGGTAAAATTTTTTAATTTCCAAAACATGTTATTAAGAAGAATTAAAATATTAATAACCTTGGGCTAAAAAAAAATAACCAAACATTAAATTACAATGAGAATTTTGTTTTAAATTTAATTGCATTGTGCACCTACGGAAAATTTGTTATTAAAATATACCAAAAAAAAATTAAATTATATAAAATATAATATATATGAAAATAAATATATAAATTGAAATCATAAAAATAAATATATAAATTAAAATTATAAATTAAATGTAGAACATCATTTTTCGTAAGGAAATTACGCATAGCAGCCGCTGTTGACACTTCAGCGATTGCTTTAATACTGATGAGTGAACAAATTTTGCATTGTTTGCTGGAGGCGTGTTTAAAAAATTGTTGGTAAATTTAATGTGTAATGGAGAGAGAAGACTTCGTGTGTTTGTCAACGCGCGTTGATGTCTAAGGGCCACTTTAGAACACAAGTTACTTTTAATGGAAAATAACCAACTAAAAACTGAAAATGGAATTGAATTGTTATTGTATTGCATTAAAAAAGCGGCACAACCCTTAAAACTAAAACACTTACAAAGAAAATATAAACAAGCATGGTATGATGCGGAATGCGATTCAGCACGAAAGCAATCA